GAAAGCCCTCTATGGCTTAAAGCAAGCTCCTCGTGCTTGGTTTCAGCGTTTTAGCTCATTTCTTCTCACACTTGGGTTTTCTTGCAGTCGCGCTGACACGTCCCCTTTGGTCTTTCATCTACAGTCTAACCTTATCTATTTGCTTCTTTATGTTGATGACATTATTGTTACTGGCAACAACTCATCTCTTATTGACAGCTTTACTCGCAAGCTTCATTCTGAGTTTGCTACCAAAGATTTGGGTTCTCTAAGTTACTTTCTTGGTCTTGAAGTCTCACCCACTCCTGATGGTCTCTTTATTAGTCAGTTAAAATATGTTTGAGATATTCTTACTCGTGCTCAGTTGCTCGATAGCAAACCAATCAACACTCCCATGGTTGTTTCTCAACACCTGACTGTTGATGGTTCTCCTTTCTCTGATCCTACTCTCTATAGATCTCTTGTTGGCGCCCTTTAGTACTTGACTATTACGCATCCAGATATTGCTTATGCTGTCAATTCTGTCAGTCAATTTTTGCATGCCCCTACTGCAGATCACTTTCTTGCTGTCAAACGTATTCTTCGCTATGTCAAAGGAATACTCCACTTTGGTCTTACCTTTCGTCCATCTACTGTTCCTAGTACGCTAGTTGCTTATTCAGATGTTGACTGGGCTGGTTGTCCCGATACCCGTCGTTCTACATCTGACTATTCTATTTATCTTGGTAACAATCTCGTTTCTTGGAGTGCCAAAAAGCAACCTATTGTGAATCTAAGTATCGTGCTCTTGCCACAACTGCTGCTGAACTTCTTTGGGTTATGCATCTTTTGCATGACCTCAAGGTCCCTATTTCACAGCAGCCTCTACTCTTATGTGACAACAAAAGTGCTATTTTTTTGAGCTCTAATCCCGTTTCTCACAAGCGGGCCAAACATGTTGAACTAGATTATCATTTCCTTCGAGAACTTGTTATCGCTAGCAAACTTCGCACACAATATGTACCCTCTCATCTCCAAGTTGCTGACATCTTCACAAAAAGTATTTCTTGACCTCTCTTTGAATTTTTCATATCCAAACTTCACGTTCGTTCAAATCTGACGCTCAACTTGCAGGGGGTGTTAAGGAAAGTTGATTGTTCATTATAAGGCAAATATCTAGATATTTGCCTTACATTACCGCTTACCATATTTGCCATTTTATTAAAGACAAATATATTGTATTCATTTATTATTCTTTTCTTTTACGGTTATTTCCATATTATTTGTAATTTACCATATTTTTGTATTTTGTAAATGATTATAAATAAGAGAACTCTCACCACCATTTAGGTGTGGTGAATTCAGCAAACATTTACAGATATGATATGGTTATGTATAGAAAAATGTTATGGTTATGATAGATTGATATGACGATACGGTATGGTCATGTATCGCAAAAGATATGATTATGATGGACTGATGAAACGATATGGTTAGGATAAATTTAGGAAACGATATGACTAAGGAACGTTCATGAAACGATATGACTGTGATACGTATAAGAACGTTAAGGCTATGATAAGTTAAGGAACGATATGACTACAAAGTTTTTACGAAATGATATGACTATGATACGATATGGGAATGATGAATATATATATATATATATATATATATATATATATATGTAGTAAAATGGTATGAGGATGATATGACACAGGTTATGGTACGAAATATGTGATTATTGATATGTGTATGATATGACATAATGTGAACCGATATGTTAGGAATATGTAATGTGATTGTTATGGTATATAATATGATATAATACGTGCATGTTGAGAATTGTTATGTCTGGAAATATGAAAACATTATGATATGTGATATGTGCGACATAAATAATATGTTATGATTGACATACAAAACGACGAACTAACATAAAATACAACCCCGCGTATGCATGCAAGATACGATAAATGATATGATAAACAATATGAGAAATGATATTAAAAACGATATGATATATACGAAACACTAGCGGAGGTTGTATTAAATGATAATGAAAATGGAAAAATATTGGGACCTCATGCATTATTGTGTGCTCATGCATTCGGGGACACCCCTTATCTTTCACGATAGTATGGACGCGTATGTTATGAGGTAGGAAAACAATTATTATGGTTATCATAGTGCTGCGATGACCGAACAGGAACGACCATTATGTTTACAATAATGTTGCGACGGTTAGGTAGGAAAACGATTATTATGTTTAACTTAATGTTGCAGTGACGACCCCTACTTTTAACAGGTGTCCAACATTAGAGATCTCAAAGTATGCTCCAGGAGGTGTGCGAACCGACTGGTGGGTCCATACTCACAGTGTGGAATCTGTGTAGAAAATTAATTACACATCCAAATTGCCCGTTATGATAGCCGTCATAGGAAAACATACTATTTATGATAGGTTTCATTCATGAAATTGTATATGTTTGCATTTAACCCCAATAATGGGGTCACTTACTATGTATTTCTTTAAATACTCAGCCATGTGCTACTTTTATTTCAGGTTAAGGCAAGACATTCTTGTACGGTTGACGATGACATCGCAACTTGAGACCATAATACATGCATAGAGTAGTCGCATTTATTTTCTTAGACTTAGGCTAGAATAGGATGTTTTTATTTAAACGTTTATTTATTTTATTTAGTCTTTTTTTGTGTCGTTTTAAAGGTGTTTTCAAAACACGTAAGTCCATGACTGTGTTTTAAGATGAAGGTTATGTTTTAGGAAAGTTTAAATAAAGCATTTCCGCATTTAATATGCATGATATGTATACATTAATGATCTTAGATTAAGTAGAAAATTTCGGGTCGTTACAGGTTCGAAGCCAGTCGGAGAATACACTTTCTGATGACTCAATGCCAGCATTTTGGCTTATCTGTGTTGGGTTTGATACGTTCGGACTCTTTCCTCCTAGTTTCAATTTTTTCTGAAGTGTCTAAGGTTAGTATGAATACCTTTTAGCTAGTTTAAATATTTTTGCACAATTATGGTTAGCAAGTTTAAATTATTATGAGTAAATTTAAATTCTTTTATGCAAAACTTGGTGAACCAATTCCATTAGTAGAATCCTAACTTATGATTGTTGGACTGCTTAGGTAGAATTAAATTTCAGGCCTAAGCGAACCATGTTAAGCTAGCATCAAGGAGTCATAGTAGCTTCGTCCTAAGCAAACCGTGTAAGTGGTCTTACTATCGACTCAATCAGAAGACTTGTCTTATGTATGATGACAAATGCCTAGTGACCCTTGCACATGTCATTTATATTTTATGTTATATAATGATGTGTTAATGTTATATGATGATGTAATGATGTTATATTATGATGTGATAACGTTACATGATGACGTTAGTTGATGATGCAATAATGTTATATGATGATATTGTTAGATTTTATGTCCTAAAACTCATAGTTTGTAAACAAAAACATATTTTGTTTTCAATAAAGTTGTTATTGATGTTTATTCAGAAAAAATTGTTATTGAATAAAGTGAATGTTACGATATATTAATCTAAATCCAATAAACTAAGAACACTCTGGCTATAGTATGATTACTTGAACTATATGTAGAGACATAAGAGTGGACCAAGTTCAAGTATATAGTCAAAATGATCTATAGTACAGGGATAAGGTTGAGTACCTTATTCTGGGGACACTATGGATGTGGCTCACTTTTGTATATGATATAAATAATGTGATCACTAAATTGTACATGTGGAGACATGTGAGTGGGCGCGTCCTATGCAATGAGTATTGCATAAGATCGGGCCATGAAGAAAACCACTCTCACGTTATAATGTCATTTACTGTTGAGTCTGATTTTTTCATTTGATGACTTAGGTAACTCAATCTTAATCCTGAGCTAACTATGAACTTCTGTTTATTCGGAATTATTCTTAGATTTGCATGGGTGAGAGTGGCCCTAGATCGCCGACTCAATAAGCCTCCCATTTCAGGGGTAAGACTGAGTGAATAGCTGGGGACATAGAGTGTAAGATGAAATTCACTCCTACCGGCTTTTAGGGATAGTAGCGAGGTTGTTCTCTTAAGTACTGACTCCAAATCTTGAACAAGGCCCCACCCTCTCATTGGCCCGAGAGGGATTCGGTTTTATGGTTGGACCACAAACCAATTGTTCATTAGAGGATAAGTGGAACTCAAGGAACAAGAAGTAACTTTAGTGGTAAAACGGTAAATTGACCCAACTTTAGTTACGAATAACCTGTAAAGGATCGACTTACAAATCATGGTTATTCAAATAGACAGAAATATATCTATAGTGAGGGGAGTGCAACTATTAGGACACTCTACTATAGCCTAGTAGTTAACGAATGTTGGTTAACAAGGTTAATGAGTTTAGCCGGTTAATCTCGAATCGTTGGAGCCCATGATTTGTAGGTCCATTAGGTCCCCCTACTAGCTCATATTAGACTAAACCTTAGAACAATGTGACGAGTGAGTTCGAATTGTTCGAATTCAAATTAGGGAATATACGCTAAATATATACGATATATTTAACCTCATTTTTGTTTTAATTATGAATTAAACAAAAAGAGAGAATGAGAGATATTTAAATAAGATTTAAATATTTTAATTATGAATAGGGACTAATAATTAATATGGGCTGTAATTGATTAGGATTAGTATTTTACTCAATGTTAAATATTAATTAAATTGTTTAATTAGTCATTTAATATCATTTTGATTTGAAATTAATTATTTAAATTAATTGTTGAATTAAAATAAAGAAAGTCAAAACGTTGACTTCACCTAATGGAAAAATCCATGTTTGAGTTAGTGAAATATTGAGTGTCAATATATGGTTTAACCAAACTTGCATGTTTTGCCACATAATCCCCCAAATTTAAGTATCAAAATTTGGTAATCTCACACGTTTGCATGAACATGCAAATATGACTATAAATAGAGTGATCAAGTTACGAAAGTTGGCTGAAAAACTTTGAGAAAATCTCTCAAAACTCTCTCTTTACAAATACTAAATTCCTATCAAGTTTAGTCACTCACCGGATTCCACAATCCCATTCTAAGGTCGGAGAATAGTAGGGAAGACACTAGTGGTGGTTCGAAACCGATTCGTGAGGAAAAAGAAATTTGAACTACAAAAGGTTAGTATTCAAACTCATTGAGTTTTAATGCTTTTGAACATGCTAGTTAATTTATTATAATTAATGTACTTAGAGTGCCTAAGATCCAAGTTGCTTCCGCACGTGTTATAGTAACACCATCAGATATGATGATATTATATGATTATGTGATGATATTATATGATTATGTGATAATATTATATGATGATGTGACGATGTTTATGATGTTGACATGATGCATAATAATAAGATGATGCGAGACGTATGATGATGGAATGACTTAATATGATAATGTTTCATATTAAGATGATGTGCATGTATTAAATGTCACGATACATTATGACAACTAGTTTTCAAAAACACAACCTTAGTTAATGCTAATGATGATGAATGTATGAAAGCCAATGCATGCATGTTAATTAGAGTAATGTGTGAATGGTGTATAGGGTTTTGTCATAAAGATGATTTAAATATGAAAACTATGAGAACCGCATGCATTTTGTGAGTTCATATACATCTTGATACTTCCTCATTTATGATGATGAGTACGAACGTGTACACTATGATGATGATGATGGTCATGCCTCATATGACATTCAAGGGTTTATTGACCTTCGAACGTCGGACAACTAGCTCGACTATGATGGGTCCAGGGAGTGCGAATCGCCTAGAGACCCACGCTCGCACGTGTGGTTCATGTGTAGGAAAGTACTACACATCCAATATTGTCCGGACTGGAGGCCACTCCTATGATAGTTTTAACCATAGGTCCCTAGAACATAAGTTGCATGTGTTTGCATTCCCTAACCCCAAAAGTGGGGTCACTTATTGAGTATTTATTAAAATACTCAAGTCGTGTGCTACTACTATTTTGTTAAAGGTAAGGCATCCATGTACGGCTGCCGATACATTGCAAGTAAAGACCATAGCACGTGCATGGGATAGTGGTATTTCATTTTCTTAGTTTTAGGTTAGTATACTGTGTTTTTTCTTTTAATGTTTTACTTGTTTTATTTAGTATTTTCTTACGTTGTTTTAAAGATTATTTTGAAGATGTAAGTCCATGACAATGTTTTATGATAGAAGTTATAAAAGTTTAATTCTACATAAGAGCATAGGTTATGATGACGGTAGTGACTCTAGAATCGTTACAATTACTTACTAGATTCTTGTTTTATTCTTGGTTTGTTCTCCAAGGCACTCCCCCTAAGATTTATGGTACGAGTCATGAACTTGACAACCTACGTCCAAAGTTTCATACGTTCCAAGTGACACAGCCTGTAGCTACGTAAATTAAAAATTCGCCAAAACTTTATCCATATTTCTTATAAGTTTACATAACCTTTTTGTTTAGCTACGTCCAAAGTTTCATATGTTCCAAGTTACATAACCTTTTTTTATCTAATATATTTTTATAATTTATTAACGAAATATTATATTGAAACAATGTTTCATAAAAATGAGATATAATTACACCAAGTATTATTCGAAAGTATTATTTCAAACTATCTTATTATTTTTTTTTAAAAAAAAAAAGAATAAAGTGCCTTTTTTTTCTTTATAAATAATTAAAATATATATTATATTCTATTAAAAAAATTGTTAAATATTTTTAGACCATTAGATATAAATGAAAGTAAAATACATAAAAAGTATCTTTTAAAAGAAGTAAATATTCTTTTTTTATTTCTTTGATTGCGTCATAAATGGAAAATAATATAAACATTCTTTGTGGACTATTTATTTTTTATAATTTATTCTTAGCTTTATAAAAAAATAAATTTCATATAGAGAAAATGCATTCATCCATCAAAATTTTAGTCTTGAAAATGTAATGAAAATAACAAAAAAAAAAAAAAAAATAGTGATTAAAAATAACCATTTGATGAATTTAGTTTCGAAAAATAGTACCATCCTTCTAAATTTTTTAAGGTTAAAATGAATTGCGGGTAGTCGAAGAAGCCATTTGAATGGTCCACTTATAGTACAACTAAAGTATCGAACATGACGATAACAACTACAATTAAATTAATTATATGATCGAAGTAATATAAAAAAGAAAAAATGTATAATTTAAATTAATCTAAATAATACGAACAATTAGTCGAATAATAGATAAGAAATTCATAGCATGAATAAATTTAACAAATAGATTATTAATTCATTAATATTTTCAACATACCATTAAGTTTAATATATTCATAACAATAATAAAAAATTAGTTACAATATTGGTCAATCAATTACTATTATCATCATAAAAAAATATATATATATATATTATATTCTTCTTGATTTTAAAATTTAAATTAAAGGAACATATAAAAAAAATGAGGTTTATTTCTAAAAATGAGATAGATTATTATGGGAGGTAATAAGCCCTTACTTTTAAACGAGAGTATCAAATAAGCATAGATAGACACGTGTATGAAAACAAAAGGTGAAAATAACGAATGTAATATTGTAGCAAAGAAGGGGTTATATATACCCTTCTTCCCTCTCACATTAACTCAAATGGGAGCAAGATAGAGCCAGGAATGCTTGTTGGGGAAGCCAAAAATTCCGAGATTGTTATTGAGTTCAAGGTAGATAACCATGGTTGTGAAAGTAGTGGCGAGATCGAGTTTGGCTTTTATGAACATGGAGGGCATTGGAAGAGTGAGCTGCTCGTGAAAGGTGTTCGGATTCGAGAAAAAGGGATGTGGCTGCAATTGATCAAAATAGTCTATTTTGATGTTGAGGAACCCGAGTTTGTCTTGGTCAAGTTAAAACAATCATCGATGATCTCTCATACCATTACAAATTCTAAATTCTTTTTTTAAAAAATAATGTCATTATTGCATAAAAGTTCTTTTAAGTTAAAAAAAAACTAGTAAATTTGTCATAATTTTGTTAGGCTACTTGATCACATGAGATCACATGAGGTTATCTTCGAGTCGAGATAGTAGGTCTTTTGATATGCTTGTGAGTCTAACCCTTTTCATTATTCAGTCTCACAATAACACATGTATATATATTCACGTGCATTTGTCACAATCGCACTCTTGTAGTAGTGGAGCGATGTTGTACAACCCTTGTTATAACTTGGGAAACAATTCAGTCGTATGGAAGTTGGATTTTGCGGACAACCTTGAAGTCAGATCGAGTTTAGGGTCACATTTGAGAGAAATATTTTAGAAAAGGTAAGCAAGGAAATACGTTGAAAACAATTTGAAAGAAATCAATGTTATAAGCTAAAAGCGAATAAGCAACAACCACAACTTGACAATGTATAACCCGGGTAGGAAGAATTGACAACTAGTCACATCCCCCTATAGTACATTTTGGGGCATTTAGCCCTAATGAGTGTAGACATGATTTTGGTGACTGGTCATACACCCTCGTATTGACACAACAAGAATAGTAAAAACATATCTAACATGAAAGCAAGTAAAAAGGGTTTGAAATGAGCATACGACCATGAACCACACATCTTTGACAAGTATGATTGAGACATCTGACATGCAACCACAAGCAACACATCTTGGACAAGCATGATCGAGACATCGTTTTTCACTCAATTGGTTGACGTATCTATCAACCGACTCTTCACGAACTAAGCAATGTAGGATGGGGTTGACTTCAGGTCTCTCGACATGCTTCCAGTTGATCTCAACATTGAGAAGCTCTTCCAATCTGAAAGAAATTGTTCTCAGTTCATTGACTCTTCATGTCTTCTTTGTTGAAGTCTCTCTTACTTTTTTCGCTGCGAAATTCTTCTTCGTTGCATGAGATCATACCACCTCCTTGTGTTTGGTGTCTTCTTGGTCAGGATTGTAAATTTTCAAGTTACTGACATGGACAACAGGGTTAGTCCGCGTCCTTGAGAGTAATTAGATCATATGTGATACCTCCCCGACCTTGTTGATTACTTCGACTTGTCCATAGTATTTTTGCACCCGTTTGTGGTTCTTGCTACTTTGAAATCAGACTCTTCCATAAATTTGTTGCCTTGGGGTCTTTCCTCAGCATTTAAGTGATCACTATTTGAGCGTCTAGTAAACCCACTATCAACAAGTCATTTAGTTGTTTGTTCAGCTAACTTAAGTTAAGCTATATGACAAACTTTTGTGGCAGGTGATCTCGCCTTCGACATAGAATCAATCTCATGATTTATCTCCTTTGTCTAACCTTTTGGCTTTGTGTCCCGATGTTCCTATAGTGGTCACGAGGTTTTTGTTGGAGTGAGCTCACTCGAGCTCCCCTCTTCAACCATGACAATGTCAATGAGCATGGGTTCATTGTCGATAAGATCCCTTCTCAACTGTAACACGATATTATCTTCACCTCTTTTGGTTGACAGGCGATAGGCTGAATGATTGTTGGGTTGAACCTTGTACTAGTAAACATTTTGCTATGGGCGTGAGAATGACTTTGTGTTCAAGCAGAAAATTCATCCCTAACACGATGTCAAAATCGTCCATGTAGAGCCGACCCGTCCAAGTCCCTATCTTGATCAGAGTCTTCTTTGTAATCACTAAGATAGGTAGAGCTGCTAAATTGATAGCTTTCATCCGTTTTGTATCTCAATATCAAACATTTCGCTTCAATCTCTATCATGAAGTTGTGGATGACTCCAAAGTCAACAATAGTGTTCAGAGTCGCTATATTGTTGACCTAAGCCTCGACATGCACAAGACTGCACTCCACTAGCTCTTCTATCTCACTCACTCTCTTATGGAAGGTAGATAATTACTTTAGAGCTCTTATGCAGGGGTTTTTCATGCTTTCGAGTAGCGGTGTTTCAACCTCTATCGTCTTGTACTCATCTTCTGAATTCATTCTAAATTTTGCTTCTGCTGACTTTTTTGGTCACTCAGTTTCTCGGTGGGTCCCTTTACATATGA